GGAGTGATGTAGGAGTGATGTAGGAGTGATGTAGGAGTGATGTAGGAGTGATGTAGGAGTGATGTAGGAGTGATGTAGGAGTGATGTAGGAGTGATGTAGGAGTGATGTAGGAGTGATGTAGGAGCGATGTCGGAGCGATGTCGGAGTGATGTAGGAGCGATGTCGGAGTGATGTAGGAGCGATGTCGGAGCGATGTAGGAGTGATGTAGGAGCGGTGTCGGAGTGATTAGGAGCGATGTAGGAGTGATGTAGGAGTGATGTAGGAGTGATGTAGGAGCGATGTCGGAGTGATGTAGGAAGATATGTAGGAGCGATGTTGGAGTGATGTAGGAGCGATCGATGACCCGGACATGTTTGCAGAATGCCATCCGGCGCACTTCATAGGACATCACTAAGAATGACGATCAAAGTAGACCTCAAACCGCATAAGGAAAGGAAAAATAAAAACCTGAATTTCATACGGCTGCTACAGCACCAGCAGATAAAATAGAAGTAGTTTTCTCCAGGCTTCTCCCACAGAACCAATCGGTGTATGAGATCTTAAATGAGATCTTAAATGAGATCTTATGAATAGCTTGAAGTTATATATGTTATGTTAAATTTTGAACGGATGACCTCGGACTGGGTAAAGAGTCGTGGGTCACTTATTAATATTTATTTGAGGTCAACATATTTGTTTCATTAAATCATTAACTTTTGATATATCCTTCATGTGTGGAGTTCTACCTTTTGTTCATACAGACAGCTCAGCTGTGCGTGTTTTCTAAGAAAGAAAATCCAATTATCTACTAATCAAAGAGCCCATGACAAGATCTCTGCTTCATCGGAACGCGTAAAATGATTTAATTAGGTATTGGAATTTTTTTTTTCAATAAAATTTTAAATAAGGGAGACGACTTATTAAATGTTTATTTTATACTTCGTCCATTATTTTCTGGTTAAAACCCCTGAATTTTGTACGCGCTGTTCAGGTAGGATTGTTGTGTCACATGATTTTGTCAATCTCGTGTTTGATTGTGGTCTATAAAGGGTAATGAAAACCCGTTTTAAATAATCTCTGTCTTTTAAAAAGTTAAATAAATTAGCAACTACGTTATATATCCGACTTCAGTTCTACTTTCGACTTCAGTTCTACTTTCGACTTCAGTTCTACTTTCGACTTCAGTTCTACTTTCGACTTCAGTTCTACTTTCGACTTCAGTTCTACTTTCGACTTCAGTTCTACTTTC